CATAAAATATGTCTATTTAAGGTTCTGTACTCATTGTCACAAGTGCATTAGACAAGAGGTGTTCTTTTAAGTCAGTGTCATTGTTCCTGTTATTTGATTTTCATTACAAAATCTATCAGATCTTCTACTTCTTGTCTTTATTTTTGAATCTCAAAAATCATCTTTTTATTGCCTCTTGTAAAATATGTTCTAAAAGTTCTCACACAGTGCACTATTAAAACTCAGCTAAACTTTATTATTCATTCAGTCTCCTCCATTATTTATCCCTCTTGATTTGGAAGTAGGACTCAGAGCTTACAGCAGCACAGCACTAAGAGTTTGTTGCTATTCCCTGGAACAGAGCCTTACCACAATTAGCCATTGATCCAGCTGCTAGTATCATGACAAGGGAACTCAAACTCCCTCCTCCTTGAGGCAATCACTCCACAGAGAAACCCTTCAACATCACAAGCTTCCACTGCTACATTGCTTAACTGAATAATCAGCATCAGGCTCAGAGCTGATTTTTCAAACTGCAATAAGATACACATGCTACTTTAATTCATTAGGAAAATGTTTCTCCATCACAGACCTGTTCAACCTTCTTCTGTGTGGAGGAATGTATTTTCTGCTGGTTCTTAAAAACACAACTTTGCATGTGTTGAGACTCATGTAGCAAGATCTTTCATGAAGAGGTAGAGATAATTCATGATTTTTTTTTCTTTTCTAGATGGTTTTACTGTAAGAACAAAATCTCATTCATATCTGAAAGATCCAGTGTGGATAATCAGATTTTATGAATTAGCTAGTATGGGATGGGAAAACAATCAAAGGTGCAGCATGAAAAAATTCACAGTGCTCATTTATTTTGACAGGTGTAGTTCAATTCTAATAATTTATGACAATACTTCAGAATATACTAGAAAATGTACAGTAGTATGAAATAATAAGGGACCACATTAGACACATCGCTTTTAAAAGGTCAGTAACAAGTGGGATTAGATGGCAAGATTTTTTAAGAGAATTTTCAGGTTTGGATGTGAATCCAGAAGACTGCAATCTGGCAAAAGTAATACACTATTGTAGGCATAATGGCTAAAGAACATACTTCAAGTCAATTCCCTCTGTAGCAAACATTTTTTGGTCATGAAAAGATTCAGTGCAGCTACAGATTTCAAACCTGCAGAGAAATGTTGGTTCAAATACAAATTCATTATTGAATTTGAATATTCAATTTGAATATCTATAATTGAATATTTGTTATTGAATATTCGTTATTGAGTATCTTCCCATTTTCTTTACTTTTACAACAAATAAACTTACCTTTATATTTAATGTATATCTTAATATATCTATGTAGGCAAATCCCTGCATCTATATGTAGCATCACAGGTTTTAAAAAGGCAAGATATCAGAGCAAATGGTCAAAAAAGTTTTAAACTTGGTAATTCAAAGGAGACTCTGTACCAATGTAGAGCTCTGCAGATTCTTATTACAAGACTAGGCCCTTATTCAGGTGCATAAATATACATTTTGGAACCTAACTTTTAAAAACATTTCTTTAAATCTTGGCCATACATTTTGTTCTGAGACCCCTTGAATTCAAGTATGTAACCTTAACCTTTCATGTAACAAAGGTTTTCCATTTAATGTATAATACTTAATTTTTTCCCTGCTACAAAAGTCCTTGGTTGGCTCTAATTATGCTCATGAGAGTGGAGAACTGAAAAAACATATTGTTTGCCTGGGGCCTAGGGTGGGAAGAGAAGGTTTCACAATTCACCCAAATAATGCTGGAGAATCACTCTTTGTAAAGGTTTTAAAGCTTTTCATATTCCAGATTCTGGACTGACATCCACTCATCTTGTCCTATAAAGAAATGTGATCCCTTTTTTAAAGCCTTTTAAAAACATTAATCCCAAAATGACTCCAAACTGATTAAATGAAATCCAAACTGGACATTCCATCAACGTGCTTTGCTCTTTCAGTCGTATGGTTAGTAGATATGTTTATACTTCAGCTTTAATTTGGGGGGGAGGAGGAAAGGAAGAGTTATCAACCAGAAATGTCCAACTGATGATGTAATACATACATATGTTTGCATTTAGACTATTTTAAATAAGAATGTAACATTAGAAGCCCTTAGGAACAGACGGGCAATTTCTTACCTGCCATCTTTGGCTTCTGTAAGTCTCTCTATGCCAGCCCCAAATAGCCGTTCCCTATATGTTGTTAGGGATGGTTGATTTTGCTGATTTTGTTTTCTTCTGCGGCTTTCCGAATTACCGCCTGCAAAAGCCCAGAGCTGGCACCCTTGAAGGTCAATGCAGCTCTGCCAGGCTCTGATCCAGTAGCGGATCAGAGCCAGATGGGGCAGGATCATATAGGCAGAAAGGGGGGGAAAGACACCACCAGCCCTTTGCTGCCCTGGAGGAAGGCCTCGCACTGGCTGCTTGGGCTGAAGCAGTGTGCAGGGTGTAGATCTGACAGAGTCCCCTGTGCCCAGGGCTGTATTACACTTTAACTCTTGCAGGGGGCTGCATAAAAAATAAAATAAACCAGTTCAGGACAGACACCTTGGTGGGATCATTTGATCTCAGCAGTGTTCCTGTCCAGAACAGGTGTGGTGGACTCGATGACTTTTCGAGGTCCCTTGCAGCCCTTCATGTCTATGATCAATTAACAAGTCCACCAAAAGTGAAGGAACAATCCTATCCGAGGTTATGATTTTCAAATCTTACAGGGAAGCTCTCATCTCTTAGGGTGGGGCTCAGGCCCAATCTCCCCCTTAACTTACACTCTGCCTGTGCCCCCATGGGGAGCACCTCCACACCAAACACAGCCCAAGGCTGGAAGGGGTCACTACAGGGGAGGGCCAGGCAAGGGGCGGGGCCTGCTTGAGGGTGACGTCAACAACTGGGAAAGGACCCACCGTTAAGGGAAAGGAGGGGCCTGTTGTGAGGGGCAGGGGCGGAGCCTGCAGGGAGGAGGCGTGGCGTGTGCGTCATCCCCGGCGCCGCGCCGGCAGCCAATCGCGGTGCGGGGTTAGCGGGGCTGAGCCAATGGGCGGCGGGCGCGGTGGCGCCGGGAAAAATGGCGGCGGAGTGAGCGGCCCGGGGCTGCGGCCTCGCGCCATGACCAGTAAAGGGCGGAGGGGAGGCGGCAGGCCCCGCCCTCGCTCTCGGTCTCCGGGCCCGCGCGGCGGCGACAGGAGCAGGCGGCG